CTGGCCTCTGAGCAGAGGCCCCAGGAGGGAGGGCGAGAGAATGGTTTGGTCTATGGACTCTGGGGCAGAAGCGATGGATGATCCCGACAGAGGAAAAGAAAGAAAACAATTCCTCCAGAAGACAATGGTGATGGGGAGCGGGAGGTTGAATAGTGTCCCTCCCAGCCCCACCAATCCCCCTCAACAAAACTCAGGTCCATTTAGAACCTCAGAGTGAGACATTATTTGGAAACTGGGTCTTTGCCGAAGTCATGAAGAGAGGTCATGTTGAATTAAGGCATGCCTTCAATCTAATGGCTGCTGGCCTTCCTGCTAAGACACACTCAGCCACCCACCAGCTGAAAGGGCCTGTGGCACCAGGGGCAGGTAGTGTTGTCATACTGCCTAAGTCCAGGAGCCGTCGGGAACCACCAGAAGAAGCTGGAAGGGGCAGAGGTCTAAGGGTCTTCCCTAGAACCTTCAGAGGGCGTAGCCCTGCCGACACCTGGACTTCAGACTTCTGACCTCCATCGCTCAGAATGAATGCATTTCTATTGTTTGACGCCACCCAGTGTGCCCTGAGCCCCAGGAACCCAGCACAAGGCAGGGCCCAGAGGGAGAAGGACAGTCAGGGCTGCAGAACTTATTTTTTGCTTCTGTCGTTTGGGCTTGAGTGGAGGGCAATGCTTGCACACTGAGCTGGGGCGGGAACTGAGGAGGGAGGCATGGAGGCCGACCTCTCGGCCTGGGGGCAGGGGCCACAGAGAATGGCACGAGTGAAGGGCCCACTCTGGACCCTTTACCCTTCTTTAAAATGCTCAGAAAGCAGGCCCGGGCCTGCCCATTTGGACAATGGAACAGCTGTGACAAGGTGCTTGAGGGCCGTGCCACCCCAGAGCAGCACAGAGACCAAATGGAGCGCCTAGCCCACCTGTCTGAAGACCAGCATCATGGTCACAGTGGCCTGGCCTAAAGTTCTGAGAGTTAACAGGGACCCAGTACTAGTCTCTGTGCCTATCAGCTGATGCAAGCCCCCTTCAATTTGCAGCCTGGCAGTACCCCCGTTTAATAAATCAGGTGAGCAATGAACCCATAAGCCAAACCCATGGCTGTTGAGTTGATTCTGAGTCAGGGCCACCCCATGCACTGTCAACCCCCTTTGGGGGTTGAACGACCCTTTCACAGGGGTCTTCTGATTCATCACAGTAGCAAAATGACAGTGATGAAGTAGCAACAAAAATAATTGTATGGTTGGGGGTCACTGCCGCATGAGGAACTGTATGAACGGGTAGCGGCATGAGGAAGGTTGAGAACCACTGCGCTAGAGAATAGAGCTGAGCCCCCGAGGGTCCCCTCGGCTGGACCCTTCATGGAAGCAAGTTGCCAGGCCTTTCCTCTGCAGTGCTGCTGGGTGGACTTGAACTACTGTGACCAGTCCAGTGCAAGCCACTTGTGCCACCCAGGACCTAATTGAGGCCTTGTTGTTGTCATCCTTAGGTGCCACCCAAGAGGATTCCCACTCATAGCGATGCCACATACCCCAGAACAAAACACTGCCCAGTACTGGACCCTCCGCACCCTCACAGCGGTCTGCGTCTGAGCCCACGGTGGCCCCTGTGTCCCACCATTTTATGGAAGGTCTTCCTCTTTCACTGAGCATCCACTTTTACCCAGCACAATGTCTCTCTCCCAGGACTGCTCCCTTCTGATAACATGCCCCACACAAGTGAGACAAAGTCTCGCCATCCTTACCTCTAAGGGCATCTTGGCTGTACTTCTTTCTAGACAGATGTGTTTGTTTTTCTGGAAGGCTATGGTACTTTCAATAATCTTCGCCGGCGCAGAAGAGGCATAGGAGAGGATGAACCATGTGCCCAAGGTCACACCATGAGCAAGGGAAGAAGCCAGGATGTCAGCCCAGGCCGTCTGGCGCCAGAGCTTCCCTCTGCACATCAGTCCCGTCCCCTGCTCTGGAGTGAGACGCTGCATGGCTGGGGACTGAAGATTCAACAAATCCTGATTTATTTGCTGAATGACCCTGGACAAGTGGCTCAGCCTCCCTAGCCCTCAGACTCTGCACCTGGGCTGCTGGAGGGATTCTGTTCAGTATGTAAACAGCCCAGACCTCAGTGGACTCTTTTGGAACAGGAGCAGGCTGAGTTGCAGAAGCCCCAATGGTATTTCCCAGCCCGTAAGGTTTCTGCCTCCGCAAATACAACTGGTAAGGAGTGACCTGAAACTGAGAAGAGACAGGCTGCTCTTTAAAATCCTGTGATTAAGATGTGAAGACCCACAAAACAATCACACCCCGTGTGCGGCTGGGAACCGTGGATTCTTTCATTACCAGAATTGCCGATGGGGTAGCATTGAGAAGCATTCAACCCGCCAATTCCTGCCTAGTTGTTGAGAAGTTTGAAGGTGAGCACACCCCTCCTTCCCAGAAAGTCAGCCAATACTCGCTCCATTGCTCACACCAGCCTGGGCTCACACAGGGCCCCTCGTTTCTGATTAATTTGTTCTCGCAGCTTCTAAGTCAGTCACAGGACAGGGCACTCGCGGGAGCGGTGGACAAAGAAGGACGGAGACTACTCTTCACGGAATAGGGTCACCCAGGGAAGGGTGGACAGGAGCACCGGAGAATGGCAAAGGACAGAGGGGTTCCAATTGGAGGCCTTAACAAACCTACGTCTACCCCCCAACCTCATGATTGTGGTGGTTACAAGTGCCACTATCCAAGGCTGCGAAGATGGGCATGAACTAGGCCTGACGTAGGCGTCATCACCAGACTGCGGGTCCCTTGGGAAGAGCTCCTCCACTTGTTTGCCTTTGTGTCCCCAGCATCTTAACCTACCTCTCATCTTTATCACAGGAACACCCCAATGAATGAAAGGATTCCTGTGAAAACCCTCCAGGGCCTTGTGTAACACAGCCAGCGTGTGGCTTCTGGACGCAGCAGAAGTCATGGAGTGAGGAGTACCATTGCTGACATTAACTGGATCTCGGCTGGAAGCAGAGCATTCTAGAAAAGATGCTTCTTTGTGTGTTATGGACTATACACAGGTATTTTTGACTGTGTGGGCTGTGATGAGCCGTAGTTAACATTGCAAAGAATGGGAATTCTAAAACACTTCATGATAGTCAGGCAGAACCAGTACGTGGACCACGAGGTGGTCGTTTGAACAGAACAAGGGAAGATGGTGTGCGCGACTTAAAATCAGGAAAGGTGTGTGTCAGGGTGGTGGCCTCTCACTACCCTTATTCAACCTGTGTGCTGAGCAAATAACCCAAGAAGCAGGACCGTATGAAGACGAATGTGGCCTCAGGGATGGAGGAAGACTGTCAACAACCTGCGCCATGCAAAGGACACCCCTCACTTGCTGAAAGTGAGGAGGGCTTGATGCCCTTCCTGATGAAAAGGTTTAAATTTACCTTCAGGGTGGATTGCCATTCAATGCAAAGAAGACCAATGTCCTTACAATGGGACCAACGGACACCTCAGGGAGTTTTCAAGGATTGCATTTACTTGACTCCGCAGTCCATGCTCACGGCAACAGCGGTCAAGAAATTAAACCATGTACAGCAACGGGGCATTTGCTACCCAAGAGCTCTTTAAAGTGTTAAAAAGCATGAATGTTCTTTGGAGGACTGACGTGCACCTGACCCAAGTCATGATCGTTTCTGTCGCCTCGTATGCATGTGAAATTTGGACAATGGGTAAGGAAGACGGAAGAATGTGTTGACATGACGGTATTGTCAGAGAAGATGGGAGGAACCATCCACGGCCACAGCCAACAAATCTGCCTTGAAAGGAGAACAGTCGAAATGCTCCTTGGAAGCAAGGGTGGTGGGACTTTGTCTCAGGCGCTGTGGACAGAGTAGCAGGAGAGGCTAGTGCTGACAAGGACACCATGTGTGGTAGAACAGAGAGGGTTGGCAGAAAAGAGGAAGACCCTCAAGGAGATGGATTGACACGGTGGTCCAGCAGCAGTCTCACACATAGCAACAATTGCAAGGCCGGAGCAGGACAGGGCAATATTTCGCTTTACCGTACACGGGCGCACTCTGAGTTGGAACCGATGGCGCTGATGGTATGCCTAGTCTCTAAAAATGATCTTAAATGACCAGCCACCCATGCTTTGCTCACTCTGCTTCACAACGCTCCACACTTCCTACCAAATCAATGTGCTCTGTGTGGTCCCTTCTTTCATTCGCGTTCTGTTCCGTTTGCAAGAGGCAGCATGCGTTGGGGTTTTCTCTCCCCTTCACCCAAATAAAGACTCTGTCTGCAGAGCTCTGAGACACTAATTCCATTCACCGACGCCCTCATTTGCCCTATACAACCTGCTCCTGCTGTGCAGGGTGCTTCTCCGACTCTGGTCTCCGCTGACCACACTGATTGGTGAGAGAGAAGACCAGCTTCATCCTGGAAGAGGAGTGTGGGTGGGTCGGGTGAGACTCTTTAGGAGAAGGGGCCAAAGAATGGAAGGGGAGATGTGTTCAGATGGGGAGAGTTTGAAGACATCCATCTCGGAATGCAGAGGGGGTAGAGGCGGATTCCCAAGTAAGTGGGGTGAGCAAGGGTTATTTGTGCTTAACCCACTAATCTGTACAATTTCACGTGGATCTCACCGCACCACAGATGCAGTGCATACCAAGTGAAGGTACATACCAAGGTATGCAGTACAGATGATTAAGGAAGCACCTCTTCCCTTGCTTACTGCGCACTCCATTCCTGACTTCCTCACTGCCAGAGTCTATTCTGACTCTGAGCAGCCCCACAAGACAGGGCAGAACTGCCCCTGGGGGGTCCTGAGACTGTAACTCGTCTTGTCTTTCTCCAGTGGAGCCTCAGGTGGCTTCGAGCTGTTGACAGCCCAATACATAACCAGGACGGCCACCAGAGCTCCCTCCGTGTGGCTGAGACTGTAAATTTGAAAACAGCTCTGATTCTCTAGACAGGGGCCAAGCCTAGAGCCAGAAACCTTCCATGTCATGAGAACATGGGAAAGTGTTTACTACAGATTAGTAAGTAAGCACAAGTAAACCAGTGCTTACTTTGTTGACTGGGTCATCTGACACTGCTAAAGGCAAGACACCGTGTAGACTAGGAAATTTTCAAAATCAAAAGTCTGGGAGGATTATGTGAGAGTAAAGCAAGGCCTGGCCATAAAGTCCAGTGGATAGCTCACTAGGCTAAATATGAATTATTTCTGCCCTACTTGGCCAGATTCTTTTGAGAGACATCCCATTCTGCCTCCTTCACTCCTTCAACCAACCAATTCCAATCCTGCGCGAGTCTGGGGTGCCCCACACTGTGCTGGGGCCCAAGAGGCCTACTCTGGCTCCAAATTCCAAGCCCACCCACGATCACTGCCCCCACAGAGAGAACACTGCCTTCCCTCACTCTGACCCCGACCCCACTGCCCTCAATGTCCACTTCAAAAAAACCCCCAAAACACCTCACTGCCATGGAGTGGATGCCTACTCATAGTGACCCTACAAAACAGGGTAATACAGCCCTGTGGGGTCCCCCAGATGACAATTCTTTAGTAGATAACCCCACCTTTCTCCCACAGAGCAGCTGGTGGTTTCAAACTGCCAACCTTGCAGTCACAGTCCAGCATGTAGCCACTACACCACCAGGCTACATTAAGGCTCCCGGCTTCCTTTGGCTTCGACCCACAAGGACTTTGGGGAGGAGTTTGGGCCACGGAAGAGGGGCTTGGTGGGTGAAGAGGCTAGGGGCCACCCGCCTACCCCACCCCTGAGCCTTGGACCGCCAAATGCAGGTAGGGCCCAGGTACCTTACCCGGGCATGAGGCTAGGGGGCACGTAGGCGGCATTGAACTCCGTCAGGAGGGTGCCCGCGCTGCGAGAGGCCATGGTGGGTGCGGCGAGCGCAGCGCTGCCCGGGGTCCTCTCGGCGGCCGAGGTAAACAGCCCGTGTCACCAGGCAACGCGCGCGCCTGGCAACGCGAGGCCCGGGGCGCAGCCGTCCAGCGGCCAGCTCGGCCGCCTTCCTGGCGTCTGAGCCTCTCTCCCCGCCGGCAGGGGTGGCCCTGGGCACGCCTGTGACCCTGCTCCCATTCGCACCTCAGCGGTGGCTTCCCCAAATGGGCTCCTTGCTGCTTTTGGGAGCTGGGGGGTCAGGGGTGGGGGTGGGGGCGGGAGTCGTATGACCTGGGTGCCGTTCGAGGTTGAAGGCCAGTGGAAAGATGGGGCTGGGTCCTTTTGAGCCCCACTGGCTTAGGTGACCCAGCTGGGACGCTGTGTGGCGAAGGCACTTTACAGACCAGGAGGTCTCCCCAAGGATAGCGGCCCCAGGGATGAGTCCCCCTTGACCCCGAGGAGGCTTCCAGGAGGCACGCAGGGCAGTGCGCCCAATGTCCAGAGAGCTCTGTTAATGCGGGTGTGTATGTGTAGGGGGGCATGTGGGTGGGCAGTTTTCTTATCAATCTCGTCTCTCCATGGAAACGTCCTTTCACCTCATATTCTCTTGCCAATGAATCCACAAGAGTAACTCTATATATTCTGAGACACTCTGAAGGCACCCTGGTGGGTATTGGGCTGCTAACATCAGCGGTTTGAACCCACTTGTCGACCTGTGGAAGGAAAGATGAGGCTTTCGGCTCTGTAAAGATTTAAAGTTTCAGAAACCCAAAGGAGCAGATCTACTCTGTCCAAGAGTACAGGGTCACTGTGACTCGGAGTCCACTCGAGAGGAGTGCCTGTGGATTTTGGTTTTTGAGACCCTCTGGGTGGGTACACTGGAGCCCAGGTCAGCCGAGAGCCCCTGTGATTCCACTGGGAGGCTCCTGTTTGTCAGACGGCAAACCATCGGAAGGCCCAGTGAAATTTCTCTGTCATCAGAACTCTCTCGAAACCCAAAACCAGATTGACTGCCATCCAGTCAACACTGACTCACAGCAGCCCTATAGGGCAGGGTAGAACTGCCCCAACTGCCCCTGTGAGTGTCTGAGACCCTAATTCCTTACGGGAGCAGAAAGCCGCGCCTTTCTCCCATGGAGCTGCTGGTTCTGAACTGCTGTCCTTGTTCTTAGCGGGCCCAAGAGTAGCCACTAGATTACAAGAGCTCTCTGGCAGAGGCACAAAGGATGGACGGCTAACTGAGAAGTTGTGGTTGGAACTCGCCCAGCAAGGCTGCGGCAGAAAGGCCTGGTGCTCTGCAGCCAAAAGGTTCCAGCTAGAAATCCTCAGGAAGCACTTGGAGCATGGAATTCACTGCTGGGCATACGTTGAGGCTCTCCTGGTGCCTTCAAATCTGGAATTCCTCCAGTCACCCTCACCCCCGCTCTCGGAGGTGTGGAGGAAAGGCCAGCACTCTGGGGGCCAAGGTAGTGCCAGCTTCCAAGCCAGGGGACTCAGCTGTGGCTTGGACCCAGGCCCTGCCCCGCCCGGTTCCTTGCAGCAAAGCTGGCCTTAATAAAGTCGGTCTGCAGTTTACAGTTGAATCATTCTCAGTCTCATTCCATCCCTGTCAGACACAGATCCAGATCGGGGAGAAGTGTTATCTTCACAGTTAGACTCTGTCGATGGCAGCTGATGAAGACCACAGACACTAATGAGTTCTCAGGATGCTGCTGGGACCAGACTTCGTGAAAGACTCACACGCCGACAGACAGCAGTGAAACTGGAGGAGGGGGACCATGGGCTTCCAAGCGGCATGAAATGCAGAAAATCTGAAGCCTGGGCAGAGGAAGGAGGGAGACAGCGGGTGGTGTAAGACATGAAAAATAATAATATTCTATAATTTGGCAAGGGTTCACAAGGAGGGGAGGGGAGGGAAAAAAGAGGAGCTGGGGCTTAAATAGAACCAGGGGCTTAAGTAGAAAGAGAATGTTTTAAAAATGATGATGGCAACATATGGACAAATGTGCTTGATACAAATGATGTATGGATTGTTATAAGAGTTGTAAGAGCCCCTCAATAAAAATGATTTATATATTGAAAAATTAGCTGGGAGGAATGTCTACGCAGCCTTCCTGCAAAGTGTACTCAGGTCTGTGATGTTTCCAAATTCTCCACCCAGAACACGTGCTATGATAAGAAGACCATTATTGGCCGTTATGAGAAACTCCCTCTACCCAGGTGTCATATGAATGACTCAGCCCTTGGACTAAGGTAAGTGGCTCCTTTCTGCCCCAGTCGATGGCCTCTGAACCCCGGAACCCCCGCTCAGGGCACCCATCAACCTGGGCTGTCATGCTCTGTGCGCTTGTCCATCTGTCTCTTCTGCATGGAGTCTTGTATTAATCTGGGTATTTAGAGAAACAAATCCACAGAAACTCATGTATAAGAGAGAGTTTTATATAAAAGTTAAGTGCACATCAAGAAAACATCCCAACTCAGTGCTGCCCAAACCCACAAGTCCAACATTAACCAATTAACCCATATGTCTGACACTAATCCACAAAGTCCTCCTCCATCTCACAAAACACACGCAATGACGCCGACTGCAGGAAGAGAGCCTGTGAACATGTAAGCATCTCAGCACAGGCAGGAGTCTCCACACGGTTGCTCCATCACCCAGGGCTGCATCGAGGTAAGTCCATGTGGCTTCTCCTCAGGGATGTCTTGCAGGATGTGAGCCTTGCAAGCTGAAGCAGGGAACTGGCTAAGGCAGCTGCACCCTGGTCCGACCATCACAAAGCAAGAGACTCGAGAACTCAAAAGGCGAGGCTCACAGAGCCATTTATCTCCTCGCCCTTCAATGAACCCCACATGTGTTTATCGGCCAGGTTTGCACAATAAACTAACTCAAGTCCTGTCCTGTGTCAACTCCATCCCTCAACCCCTAGCACCTGACATGAGAAGGTGTGCAGTGGACATTTGTTGAATAAATGAACTAACATATGAACCAATGGTTACCCTATGTGACCCTATAGGGCAGGATAGAACTGCCCCTGAGGATTTCTGCGACTAACTCCTTACTCAAGTATAAAGGCTTGTCTTTTTCCTGAGAAGTGGCTGGTAGTTTAGAGCTGCTGACCTTGCTGTTATCCACCCAACTCATAACTCCTACACCACCACGGCTTCTTATAGGGTCCCTATGGCAATGAGCTTGAGAAAAGTTGCCCGTAGGGGTAACAGTCTAGCAAGTGGATCCAGCTTAGGTTTTAGAAGAGCAGGTGAGCCCCTGGATGCCCATGCTGGCTCAGCTGAGGAATGCCTGGTATTGAAAAGGTAGAATTGTTGCCATGTTATAGATGGGGAAACTGAGGTTCGGAAAATCAAGGGCAGGTTTTGTGGGTGCTCTCCTGAAGATGCATATGTCTATTAGAGGCCTCAAGAAACTCACCCCCTTGGGGAGGGAGCCTCCAGAAAGTATGCAGACACAGGTTATCTGCTGATTTCATAGATGGAAAAGGGAGAGCCTGTAGTTGTTTACACCTGCTCATGTTCTGGATCTCATTTCTTTCAGGGGCCTAGGCTCAGTGAACGTATTGCTGGGTTGTATGGTATTTCAATTTCCAGTTGGAGCATTTAGTTGTTTTAAAAAGAGGCATTACCCCAATAAAATGATTAAAAATAATAATAAAAATAAAAAGAGGCATTAAGCTTATCTTATTTTCATTATTTCAGGAGGGACCAGACCCTGAAAAGGCATCATACTTGATAAAGTAGAGGGTCCGTGAAAACGAGGTAGACCCTAGAAAAGATGGATTGGCACATGGCTCCAACAATAGGTTCCAGCATAGCAACCGTGAGGACGGTGCAGGGCCTGACAGCATGTGTTCCTACTGTACACAGGGTCACTCTGAGTCGGGACTGACCCACCGGCACCCAACAACAGCAAGTTAAAAAAAAATTATATATATATATTTAGCATTCATTTGTATCCAATAGAGACCATCCCCTAAAATATGACTGAACTCAATATAGTTTGATAAAATTGAGAAAGAAGAGGAGTCAGGAAGGAAAGCTGGAGATGGAAAAGGGGCATGAAAAGAATGAGAAAAGGCAGGCAAAGGAGCATGGCAGCATCTTAAAGAAGGAAGTACAAGCCTACAGAATGGTGGTGTAGAGGTTACACATTGGACTGCGAACTGCAAGGCCAGCAGTTTGAAACTGCCAGCTGTTCTGTAGGAGAAAGAGGAGCCATTCTGCTCCCCTAAAGAGGAAGTCTCATAAGCCCACAAAGGCAGTTCTACCCTGCCCTACAGGGTCGCTATGAGTTGGCACCTGCTTGGCGTCAGTGAGTAACCACATGGAACGTCCCTGGATACAAGCAGCTTGCCCCCAGCTGCTAACCAAAACGTGGGCTGCTCTTCTTATTTTTTTCATCAGGCAGTTAACCCACCAGAAGGACCCTGTCAGAATGACTTGGTGCTCTGCAGCTATAAAGATTGCAGCCAAGAAAAATCCTGTGTAGCTCGAATATTTCTTTTTCTCTTTTCAGTCCTTAGACCCTGTTCCAGATAGATCGCCACGGTCGCCCTTAACCTTGTCAACATCTCTTGGGCATCCTGCAACACATAACATTTCAGTGAAAGGCACAAGACCTAGAACCAGAAAGCCAAGAAGGACGAACACTTGTCTCAAGTTGAAAGAAGTGAAGAAAAAATCCAGGCCTTGAGTTGTAGTATTAAAGGATTCTGTGGGAAAACTACTGAACGATACAGGAAGCATCAAACGAAGATGAAAAGAATACACAGAGTGACTATACCAAATATATTTGGTTAATGGTCAACCAGTTTTAGAGGTACCATATGAACAAGAGCTGGTGGTATTTAAGGAAGAAGTACAGGCTGTGCTGAAAGCATTGGCCAAAACAAGGATCCAGGAATTGCTGGAATATCATCGATTAAATCCTTCAACAAGCCGATGAAGCACTGGAAGCACTTGCTCAAATTTATGCCAAGAAATTTGAAAGACAGCTACCTGGCCAACTGACTGGAAGAGATCCTTATTTGTGCCCATTCCAAAGAAAGGGGACCTAGCAGAATGTGGAAACTATCGAATGATATCATTAATATCACATGCAAGTAAAATGTTGTTGAAAATAATTCAGAAATGTGGCAGCAGTACAGAGATAGGAAGCTGCCAGAAATTCAAGCAGGATTCTGAAGGGGATATAGCATGAGGAATATTATTGCCGGCATCAGGTGGATCTTGTTTGAAAGTACAGAATTCCAGAGAGATGTCTACTTGTGTCTTTGACTGACCATGTAAAGGCATTTAACAATGTGGATTGTAACAAACTGGATAACACGGAGAAGAATGGGATTCCAGAACACGTGCTCATGTGGAACTTGTACAACACCGACTACCGTGCAATTCAAAATCAGGAAGCGTGTGCATCAGGGCTGTATCACTGGTCATTATTATTCAGTCTGTATGTTGAGCAAATAATCTGAAAAGCTAGACTGCATGAAGAAGAAAATGGTGTCGTGATGGGAGGAAGGCTTTGATAAGCAGATGACATAACCTTGCTTGCTGAAAGCTAGGACACCTTGAAGCACTTACAGATGAAGATCAGAGAACGAAGTCTTCAGTATGGATTTCAACTCACTGTAAAGAAAACAAAAATCCTCACTTCTGGGCCAATAGACAACATCATGCTACCTGGAGAAAAGATTGGAATTGTCAAGGGTTTCCATTTCCTTAGACCCGCCGTCAACACCCACACCAAGAAATCAAATGACATTGAACAGTGGGTAAATCTGCTCCTTGACCTCTTTAACTGGCTAAAGAACCAAGGTGTCATTTTGAGGTCTAAGGCGGGCCTGACCCGAGTCATGGTATTTTCATTTGCTTCCTATACATGTGGAAGACGGACAATGAATAGGGAAGACCACAACAGAATCGATACATTTGCATTATGGAGCTGGAGAAGACTATTGAAAGCCCCATGGCCTGCTTGAAGAACAAACCAAGCTGTCTTGGAAGAAGTACAGCCAGAATGCTCCTTAGAAGCCAGGGTGGTGAGACTTGTCTCATGTGCTTTGGACATATTGTCAGGAGAGACCAGCCCCTGGAAAAGGACATCATGCTTGGTATAACAGAGGGTCATGGATTGGTACCATGGCTGTAACCATGGGCTCAAACATAATAACATTTGTGAGGATGGCCCAGGACCGGGCAGGGTTTTATTGTGTTGTACGAAGGGTTGCTATGATTTGGAAGGGCTCTATGATGTCTAACAGCTACCACAATGCACTGGGGTGGGGCTTTGGAGGTGCCAAGGGGCTGTGGGCCCTGGTTACCCAATCGCAGGAGGAGAAGCAAGTAGCCCCATGTTGCAGTGAGAGGAGGGGGACAGGGCAGCACCGAGGAGGCCCCTAACCCAGCCTGAGCCTGAGTGTGGATGCAGAGGTAGCTTCTAGGAGTTGGCACAAGTTGAGCTGGATCCAGAGTGAGCAGGAGGTGGCTGGGCTGAGAAGGCAGAGGGATGAGTTTGGAGAGGGCGAGCATTCTGTGGCGAGCCCATGGCAGGACAAGAGTGCACAGCTCCAGGCCCATGGATGCTAGCCCTGGGCCTCTCTCCCTGTGAGCCCCTCCTGGGCTGTGCGCCTGCAAGAAAGGAGGGAGTAGTTTCCCCTTTGGTCCTTGGAAATTCAGACACAGACATCCCTTCAAGCCCCCCCCCCCCCCTCCCACCCCAAGTCCCAGGCAGATGATGGAAGCAGCAGGCCTGCTAGCTCTTCCTGGAAACCAAACATCTCACCCTTCTCACCATCTCAGTGCTCTCTTTAACTTTAAGCAGGGCTCTGAGCCCTGTTGGCATAGTGGTTGCGTGTTGGGCTGACAACCACTAGGTCTGCAGTTTGAAACCACCAGCAGGTCCGCAAGGAGAAAGACGGAGCTTTCTACTCCCGGAAAGAATGACAGTCTTGGGAACCTACAGGGGCAGTTCTACACTGTCCCTGTGAGTCAGCATAACCCGATGGCCTGGGTTTGGCTTTCTGAGCAGATTACAGGCTCCCAGGCCTTCATGGAGTTCCCGGGGATACAAGTGAAGGGGTTTCCAGGCTAGGCAGCTAACCGGCCAGTCGGAGGTCCAAGTCCACCTCTCAAGAAAGGCCAGGTGACCTGATTCTGCCAAATTAGCTCTTGCAAACCCAGTGGAGCCCACTCCTACTCAGATGGCTTTTCTCATCCCTGAGGCCCCTCCAGCTGCACCCTATTCCCCACCTCCAGGGTGGAGAGTCAAGACCCCACCTGGGAAGAGGGAGGGATGATGGGCATAATGGGGAAGGGAGAAGCAAGGACCTTCCCTTGCTCTCTTCTGACCCTAAGCACTTGGACTCCCATTTCTAAGGGACCAGACACTGGGCACAGCCTTGCGGTTGCCTGGGAGATCCTGAGTCTCTAACTAGGGAGCCCTGGGTTGGAATTCCTGCACTTGCCCCAGACAGAGGAGCCAGGCTTGGCCCAGGTGGTTTCCTTGTCTCATGGGCCCCAGCGGGTGGCCAGCTTAATAGTGTGGGCAGCTTGGGTCCCCCAGAAAACACCAACGCACCAGCCCAGCTTTCTGGGCGCACACAGCATGAAGCTTTCTCCCCCTGTGGGAGAGGGGGGTTCCCACCCACTATCATACGACTCTCATCTGCCCACTCCTGGTGGCAGAAGGACCGGCTTCGTAGCCGGGAGGCCGGCCACTAGGGTGGGCTGGAGGCTCCCGTGAGGGGCTGGGGAGGACACCTGAAGCTAGCGGGAGGCAGCGGCTGTTAAATAATGAATTCCCACTGTGTGTCCGCCCTCCCGGGCTGCACGCTGGGCGCACAGACCGCGCACGGATAGCACACACGCCAGGCTGACACTTGGAGGGGCGGGGGCTGCGGGGCTACGAGGCTCCGGTGGCAGCAGCAGCTCGGGCTCCGGCTCGTTGCCTTGGTGTCGGTGGGCAGCTTCGGAGGGGCGTGGGAGGGAGGAGCAGGCAGCGCGGAGAGGAGGCGCGTCCCCGCACTCGCTCCCAGGCTCGGGCTCCCTCGCGCCAGCATGGCCCTGCTCGTCCACCTCAGGACCGTCTCCGAGCTGCGGGGCAAGGGCGACCGCATCGCCAAAGTGACTTTCCGAGGTAGGAAGCCCTGTGGTTCGGGGCAGGGCGGGGAGCCGGGTGGGAAAAGTTCTCAGTGGGGCTGTACCTGTGGGCTTCACCCGGGGGTGGTCGCCCACCCGGCCGGACTGGCCACTCGGATTCCTAGAATGTTGATGATCTGCGTTCTTCTGGGGGGCGCTTTTGTGTGTGTTTGTGTGTGTGTGTGTGTGTGTGTGTTCCTCCGGCTGCAGGTGGTTCTGGGAGTCAGGGGGACCAGGGCTGAGCCCACTTCTCCCTCTCCTAGCTGAGATTGGTTTCCTTGGGACACAAGGAGGGGGTGGGGCCCAGCACTGGCAGGTGCAGGCTGGTGCCCAGACCCCCAGGCTGGTGCTGGGGGGCTCTGTGGGGTGCTGTTGATAGGGGAGCTCTGCAGATCAGGAGTGAAGGGGTCATGCTGGGTTCTCAGATCTATCCCTGACCCGAGACTGGGCCCCGCTGGCCTCTCTCCTGTTGGGTCTCTCTCCTTCTCCCACCTCAGGCATTCAGCCACCATCAATTAATTGTGACCTGCTCTGGGGCTCCCACTGAGGGCTAGCGGTATAAAGCCAGATGTGGCCAGGCTGCCCTCCCCTGAGGAACCTCCTCCCCCCATAACCAGCGCTTGAGATACAGTGAGGATAGGGACAAGCACAGCAGTCCCCTGACTAGGCTGGGGGCAGGGTGGTCAGGGAAGGCTTTCAGGAGGAGGGGCCATCTCAGCTGGGAGATCCAGGTGAGGAGGGGAGGGAAGAGCAGGTGGAGGAAGCTGCCTGCCGCAGGGCTGGGAGGGGAGCTGGGGGGCAGGTGCAGCAAGGCCGGAGCCCAGAGAAGGATAGCAGCTGAGGATGGGGAGACAGAGCCAAGGGGGTGAGGGTGGGCTTCACTCAGGACGGAGGGAGGGCACCCCAGAGGGTCTTTGGCTGACCCACCAAGCCTCCCTGCCGGCCTGGAAAAACCCTTCATGTGTTCTCAGAGAGGGGTCTGAGGGGGATGGTGGTGGGAGGAGCCGCTGAGAGCAACCCACCATATTAAAGAGCAAAGTGAGTCACAGGCAGGGCCCTGCTAGAACACCACCTGTCCCTCTGCCAGGAGGCCCCTGTGGCACCCAGGGCTGGGATCAGCATCCCGCCCACCGCCAGCCTTCTCCTGAGACTCTTGAGCAGGAGCCCTAGGAAGCCACCCCCAGCCAGGAGGTGGGCAGTCTTCCCTTGTGAGCCCTATGTCTCCACCGGCAGGAGGGAAGAGGAAGCGGTGGACAGGCAGCCCGTGGCTTCCCACCCCAGCCCAGTGACAGCTCTCTCAGTAGCAGCCGGACCTCCCCATGCTGCCTGCCAGCCCATCCTGGCTTTCTCCACAGCCACGGCATTCTCCTGCCCATGAAGCATGTCTCTGGGCCGTCGGGCTGCAGGTCACCGTGCTGCTGCAGAGGCCTGCCCTGTCCGTCTGAGCTCCGTGTACAGACCGAGAAAGCAAGGCGCGTTGCAAAGGAGAGCTGCATGGTGTGGCATCAGTGAAGGGCATGAGTCTTGGTGGCCCCAACTCTCAGGATCTCCCTCCCAGTCATGACTGCTTAACCCTGCAAGTGCCTTGACCTCCCATTGGGTCTGCTCGGGGAGCTAGGGGCTGGGTGGGTGGGGGGAGCACCTGTTTCATCAGGCCCCTTCCTCGTTCTGTGACTGGGCAGTCACACTGACACTCTGACCTAGCTGGTCACCCAGGGAGTCATCAGTTATGCAAACATGCCCTCTGGACAGAGGAGAGAAATCCACAGCCATGGAGAGCCTCTGCAGGAGGAGGCCCTGGGAGAGGGGAGGCATGCTGGGAGCAGGACTCTAGGAAGAGCTCTTTCCCGAGCCCTTCGCCGCAGGGACCCCAAAAGACCAGCACTGACGACAATCCAGCAGCTCCGTCTCCACTGAGGCAAACGAGCTATAGGAAGAAAAGAGAAACCAGCCCAAAGGAGGCCCTAGCCCTGAGCCCCCAACCCCTTTGCGGTGGGTCAGGTAGCCCCTGGCAGGTCATGTCCCTCAGTAGTGGCTCCAAAGAGGCCAGGCCAGCTGTTGAGAGAGAGCTTGGTTTTCTGGACATGTAGGGATGTACTGGCTGTGGTGGAGAAAGTTCCAGATATGGGGGTAGGGGGTGTCAGACATGCTGGGTCATGCCTTGCTTCTCCTATCGACTTTGTCTCTTCTGGCCTTCAGTTTCCTCATCTGCAAAACAGATGCGCTAACCGCACCTGCCTCATCGGGTTGCTGCAGTAAAATAACAGGTGCGGAAGAGTTTGAGGGTAGGACGTTGGGGTTCGCTGGGTCTCTTTGTGAGGTTGAGGCTCCTGTTCGTGGGGAGAGCCGCTGGCACCGGAGCCTCCTTCTTGATAACCTACCTTCCTTCACTGTCAGTCGGGAGTGACTGTAAGGGGCGCCGTGGGAGGCATAAAGGAGAGACACGATAAAGCATCCGAGGGTCTCTGCAGGGAAATGGGGTCTGGCCTTTGCTCTGTGAGGGCCCCCAACCTGGCTATTCTTCAGAATCCAACCCTAGAGCTTGCCCCTGAGAAACCTGTCTCCATGTGGGCTGGGCAGATACCAGCTCTGTGCCGCTACCCCTCTACCCCCCTCCCCCAGCCCTGTCCCCAGGACAGTCAACCACCCCCTCAGGCCCCCTCCTGTTCACTACCCTGCTCTTTCTCTCTCTCTCCCTCTTATGACGCCTGTGGCCATCCTTAATCCGGCCCTATCTGCATTCGTTCCTTCTCTAAACTGGCCGCGGATTGTGGACCGGGTGTCTTCTATGGCTAGACCCCAGACTGGACATGAGGTGATGGAGACCCAGCCCTGACCTCGGATCTGTAGCTTCCCTGGGTCAGATAGGAGGTGACGAAGCCTGAACAAGGCGCCAGAAGACCTGGCTTCCCCTACGCAGGTGGGCCATGGGTCTGAGGACCTCAGTTTCCCACTAGATGGAGACAGCAATTTGATTTTAACCCAGAGACCTGCAATGAGAATAAGGAGTGGGATTCTCGGAAGGAGTTATCTTGACCAAAGGTCACTACCTCAAACTCCACAAACCACTCCCTGCCAGCTAGTCAGTTCTGACTTAGAACAGTGACCCTACAGAACAGAGTAGAACTGCCCCCCTGTGATTTCTGAGACTGGAACGCTCTACAGGAGTAGAGAGCCAAGACTTTTTCACCCAGGGTGGCTGGTGGATTCCAATTGTTGACCTTGTGGTTAGCAGCCTGCTACGCAACCACTAGGATTGTCTTGGGATTGGCTTGATAGGAAAAAGCTTCCAAGTTCTGTCCAGCTGGTCTTCTGCGCCTTACTCGACCCCTTCTCAGCCCCTAGGCACGAATGTCTTAGCAGTTGTGGGGGCTCATCCTACCGGCCTGGGGGTTTCCACATGTGAGGTGGTCTGCGTCTGCATCTGCTCTGCTGGTAATTCACTCGCCTGGAAATGCCTACAGAGATTTGCTCAATCTCCAACTTAACTTTTCATCATTCTTGCTTCTCCCCAACTCCCCAGCCCCCACCCTCTGTGTCCACACTGCACGGAGCTCGCCGCCAGCCGCCACAGGTGCCAGACATGTTATACCTCCAAGCCTCGAGACGCGGCATTTCTTCTGTCTGGAATGACCTTCCCCCTCCCTCTGGAGCGCTCCCCTCAGTTCTTGCCCATCCTTCCAGGACCAGCTCGGTGGCCACCTCCTCTGTGAAGCCCCTTGCCTCCAAGTGCTTTGCATGTGCTCGGTCCCTGGGCCTGCCATGGTGCCTGGTGCTGCCCTGGCTTCTAGTCTCGGCCATCCTGACTGAGCCCTGGGCGAAGCACCGGGCATCATCATCAACAGGGCTGAGAAATGGCCTGTCGAGTGGGTCTAGGCTTTCCTTCCTCTGTGGCACTGCCACTCTGGGGGGCGGGGGGCGCTCAGTTTCCCCAGCTTTCTGTTATGAGGTGTCCAGGGACTAGAAGAAGCCTCAGGAGGTAAGAGCCTGGAACCCTAGCCCACACTTTCTCTCCAATGACTAGCTCTGCCTGGGCCCAGTCAGTCAAGGGAAGCGAATCCTGGTTCTTCCCTGCCTGCCTCCCCACCAACCCCAAGTCATGGTGAAGCTGGTCCTACGCATCCCTCTCACTGCTGGAAATGTAACAATTTCCCCTTCAGAGTAGCAGACATTCCATCAGCTGTATTTCTAACTGGCCCCTAAATGCCGTCACTTGTTGTCTAGCTTATTAAAGAGGCGTGCGAGCGTGTTTGTGGGATCCTCACCACGCCGGTAAACGTACATCGGATGTTTCAGGATGTCTTTATTCCTTCTTTCACTCTCCCGAGTTGTGAATATTCGCTGAGGGGCAGCTACGTGTGCCGGTACCTACTCCAGGCAATGAGGTGGCAGCCCTTAAGGAGGCAGATGTGGGCCCTGCCCTCAAGGGGAAGGGAGGGGAGGGACCATACAGGGCAAGGGGAAGCAATCTGTACCAGGAGGTCCAGGGGCTTCCCTGAGTGGGTGAGTCAGGAAAACCTGAGAGGCTTCCTCAGGAAAAGATGGAAGAAGAGAGGATTGGAAGATGATGGAGGGAGAGTGGGGGCGCGGGGGGAGCAGGTGAGTGGCTGACCGTCTGGTCACCCTGGCTTTCTGCAGATGAAGCAAGGGTCCAAGGAGGAGTTGGTGGTGAGGAGAGAGATGGTGTGATGCTGAAGCTGGCGCCGAAGGGACCCTAGGATTTTGGCAGCAATAGAACCCATGCAAATCCGTGCCAGATGTGGTGATGCATCAGGCATGGACACTGGCTGGGGCAGGGACATGAGGTGGGGCCTACAGTGGGAGCAGGGTGGGGAAAGTCTAAAAGGTGAAGGCCCAGTCGCAGAGGGTCTTTAAGATGGCACCGTGGAGGGCAAAGTTTGCTTTGGATGTGAATGGGATGCTTAGATCTGGTTTGGTGATCAGCCCTCTGTGGGGCAGGCCTGCAGGGGAGCAGAGGCAGGAACTGGGAGCCTCAGT